AACTTGGAATAACAAATAAAAGGTTCCAACGCGTCTGTGGCCAATTGTTGTGGAGCGTATGTCACCCGGGAAATTTAGTGCGACGGGTGTGGATTGTGGTAGCACCAGCGATGCTCTCAAATGAGCAACAAAGTGTATCAATTCCACATGGAGGACAAGTCCTTTGAGTGGGTCTGTAATCACTGCGCAACACTAGCCGATGAGTTCAGGAGAATTCTGAAGGCATCAGTGGCTCCCCAGAATAAGGAAAACAAAGAAAAACCGGAAGGAGTTACTACTGCACCATCCCTTAACAAGAGTACACCAATAAAAAAGTAGGAAACCGATACAGGGAGGTTGAACCACAGACCATGAGGCCTTTAAAGGTTAAGAAGGCTGGTTCAAACTCAGGTTCAGCCTAAATACCGGTAAATGATACAACGGATTAAACAATTGCAGAAAGAACTTCAGTTGCTCAAAAAGAACAGAGAAGTTTCGTTAAAAAGGAATAACAATTTCCTCCTGCATAATTGCGTGGAGCCAGTTATAAACATGAGGCAATAAGCTGAACATCGCCATGTGCAAAACATTTTTAGACTAGCAGGGTTGCCCCCGAACACCCCATACACCGTGTCATAGAATTGGCTTGTGGAAAGGAGAAAGCTCACGTGGTTAAAGGCCTCTCTTGGTGATGTTTCCAAACACAAACATAAGGGAGCTACTACAATCACGAGTTTCAAAGTTCAAGGATCTTACTCAGGGGCGTTTCATAGTGACCCCAGATAGACCTATCCGGGTGATGCACCCGGTTAGAAGAGGAAATAATGTAAGCGGACATCACACCAAAGAAGTAGTACTTCGCATGCCAAGGGATGGAGAGCCTTTGAGCAAATCCACCCAGAACGTACCAAAGAATGCACCAGCAGAACCATGTGTAGGAAAGGGCCTACAGGATAAGTCAAAAGAAGGCAACGCCGTGGTCCGCAGAGTAAGCTCTAAACCGCCACGAAAACAGGACAAAACCCCGCAACTAAGGTACTTAGTTGCAGCTGGCAGTATAGAGGAGGAAGCCACGGTGAGCTTTGACAAATCAATTACATGGGCGACAATAGTAGCAAAATCCGCAATAGCTGCAAAGTCCTCGGCCCTCCGATTGCAACGGAAATTAAGGCGAATGAAGATGTAGCTGTGGGGGTAGATGAGGCTTTTGGGATGACGATAAAAGTTATATCCAAGGAGAAAAGTGGAATGGTTTGGGAAGTGAAAGAAGTCACAACCACAGCCGTAACCCCCTCCAAAAACGGGATAACGCCTCGGGTGTTATGTTTGAGGATCCTACGGAAATGAGTTTCCTATCCAGCAGACATACTGTAGCAGACACAGTCACACAGTGGTACACTAATACTTCCAGCATACGGAATAAGTAGGGAGAGGTTCAACGGCGCACCCCAGGTACAGACATCGTGGTCATAACTGAAGCATAGATGTGGAAGCACCACAGCATCCCGGGGATGGATGACTACAGAATTTGTAGACAAGATAGAATGGATGGCAGGCAAGGGGGAGGGGTTCTGATAATGATAAAGTCAAATCACAAGCAATAGGAGGCAGCGGCAGCCCTAGCGACTCCCAACATACAAGCCATCCGTTGTGTGGTTAAAATAGACAGAAACACATAAGCCTGGCCCCGCAGGTAAACGGAAGATCAAAAACTGATTGCTCAACTGCAATTACTTTTTGCCACATCCAGAAGGGTGTTGTTAGTAGGGGACTTCAACAAGTCAGAGATCAACTGGAGTAGAGACAGGGCACCGGTTGGTACCGGAGTTCGACCGCTTCTACACTGGCTACATCAGCACTCATTATCACAACACATACGACAAGCCACCCGGTTTAGATCAAATGACAGGTCGTCCATACTGAATCTCGTGATCAGGAGAACCCCTATGGACATAAGGACAATAATCCAGGAGAAGCCCCTGGGGGAAGGAATCCTGTAGTCCTGCGACTAAAGCTAGAAAGCAGACACCAAACCAGCGGCCAAACTAGGGAGGCGGTATGGAAAAATCAAGCAGAAAGCACTGGCCATAGCGGCGCAGGATATAAACTGGGTACCCAACCCAGCCGATGCATCCCTGAAGAGCCTAGTCAGAAAGCCATTTTGTCACTTCATGGTCAATAGCGGGCTACTGGTACCAGCTCAGCACGGATTTGTTTAAAAGAGATCTCGTCTGACAAACCTGCTGGTATTTCTAGACGAGGCCACACGGAGAATAAATGAGAGCCTACCGGTGGAGGTATGCCATCTGGACATCCAAAAAGCATTCGACTCGGTCAGCCACTATCTGCTAAATCATACGATGCAATTATTGTGAATAGGTGGGTAAGTCAAGAGCTGGATAATGGGCGGACATTTAGTGTCAAAGTAGGAACTCAGACATCCGAGGAGGTGGTCACAAACGGTGTACCCCAAGGATCCGTACTTAGACCACTGCTGTTCCTGCTCTGCATTAATAACCTAGCACGGGATCTTCCCAATCCGTGTTTCCTGTTTGTAGATCATGTCAATATAGCTGCATGGGATCTAGCAAGCGGCATAGAGGTAGTAAAAAGATGGNCCTGCCACTAAGCGTCTCGAAATGTCAGATACTGACGACCAGAACTGACGAATAAACAACAAGGAGCCTGTCGATACAAAGGGAGAACAAGGCAAAGGATCTAGGCATAGTAGTAAAGCGGGATTTCAAACCCAGCACCCAGTGTGTGAAAGCCGCAAACAATGCAAGGGGAAAACTGTTTCGTCTATGCGCAACCATGATGTGCAGAAAACCCGAGGTCTTTGTCCCCCTATACAAAACCATCGTCCGCCCAAACCTGGAATATTGTGCGCAGACTTGGGCTCCGTTCCTTCGAAAGGACTTCGATACCCTAGAGAGGGTTCAACGTCTACGCGCTAGGCTGACACCTGGGGAACAGGGGAAAAGCTGTGAATAGCGGCTAAGAGATTTGAATCTGTTTTCTCTCAAAAGGAGGTGGATGAGAAAAGACCGCATCAAGACATTTAAGATCGTCAAGGGTATATCACGTCTTAGGTTTGACGACCTATTCTCATGGGTCTTGCATAGAGGCACGCGGGGACATAACTTAAGTTTGCAGAGAAGCCACTCTAGGCTGCAACTGAGGGTAACGTTCTTCACTAACAGAGTAATTCTGTTGTGGAACCAGTTGCCGTTGGCAGTGGAAAGCTGCAGTATTGTAGATGCGTTTAAAAAGACACTTCATGATTGTTGGATAGCGGTCTTCCCTGATGTAAGCGTATAGTACCACCTATAACCTAACCACAAAGGATGTGACACTGCACCACACTATTCTGTCTTTCAGAAAAGTCGCATATAGAAGTGTTGGAAGCAAAGGAAACTCGCCGACAACACACAAATCTAGACGCTCGATTGGCAAGAGCCACAAATCGTCCTGCGAGAACTGTACAGAACCGACCTTGAGGTATGTTGGTGCCCGGTTGAAATTTTCGACTTGCTCTAATTTGATTATTGTTCGATCGTAAAAGCACAGTTCAATTGCCATAAATTGACACTTTACTCTGTTTTACACTTTTGTTTTCCGAGTTTCTCGATTGCAATTATTTACAATGCTCTGTCAAAAAGCACACACCAGAGTGGACCAAAACTCCGTGCGCAGCTATTCAGATTGTTTAACTTGGATTTGTGTAACAGCTTTACTTATTGTATTCACTTTCGTTTTCCATATCAATGTTTTACATTTTGATCCATTTTAGATACAATGACGCGAGTGTCCTGCCTATGTTTGAAGGAAAGCTGCGGGAAGAAGATGGTCAAAGGAATCAAACGTGAAACTTGCAACAGTTGGACACATTCTGATTGTTCAGGTATTAGCAAGGACCGCTATGCAGTCTTTTGCGAAAATAGCTGGGTAGAATGAATTTGTGAGCAGTGCAAAGACGCGGCCAGGTCTGCATTCGCGAAACGGAAATCAGAGACCAGAGGCAAACCGAGTAGTGACCGTCTCGAGAGCCCTAAAAAATTGGGACCGCAGGGAGAGAGTTTTCGGCAAACAGTTTTGCCTAGGACCCGGAAGGCAGTAATGGCATCCACACCGTAAAATAAACCGCTACTTGTGGTCAACTCCGAAGTACGTCAGGGTGCGAACCGTCCCGAGCCACATCGCGGGTTCAAACATGGAGAGGATAGAAATATTCTCTCACATGGGAATAGAGATGGGTTAGAAGAAGAGCTCCAAGAGCTGAAGAAGCAAGTGAGTACCCTCCTTGCAG